TGCACCCCATGTGCATGCAATAACTTTTCGGATGAAGCTCAAGTGCATGGCGCAAACCAAAATAAAGCAGTTTCAACATTTTAGGGTATCGTCTTGTAGAGCTCGATGAGCTGAGTTCAAGGTATTTATCTCCCATCTCCTCGATTAATTAATTTTAAAGTGATTTATAAAGAAAAGACGAAAAAGACGCGAACTCGCGGTATTATCGCAAGTTTTTGAGTTCTTACGGCGAGTACTGTATTTCTACTTGTTTACTATTACTGTTCCTTCTACTCAATCTACTCAACATATTCTACTGTGATTTGCCCTTTTGTAGAGTTTGGCTTCGGCTTTTTGGCAATTTGGGCAGTATTTTTCACCAACGCTTTCATTCCTGAACCTGTCATGCAGACAATCGTTAGGGGATAAGAAAAATCAATTCGATAGACCTTGTATTTGGACAGGCTACTGTTTTCGACAACTGCACAAAGTTCGCCCAACCGTTCCTCAGCCCGCTATATTTTATATACTTCACGTACTGGCTGATGCGGTATACTCTCTCGTTCCAAACATGCAGTTCTCCTAAGCCTAAGGCAAATCGAGTTTGCATTAGCAGTTTATAGCAGATTTGCAGAAAGGTGCATGAGCAAGGAACTGATCATGAAGCAGGCATCGAATGCTTCGTTTTCTACATATTTCTTGTAAGAAATAATACCTTTGTGTGGGTAACATAGAGCTTGTGAGATTGGTTGATGAATTGGCATAGATTTTCGGTGTATAAATTGTTTTCTTCCTTAGAAGAACCAGGCTCCTGTAGCGGAACACTTAACGCTCTTAAAAAAAGACAATCGAGATTCAAACACATGCCTCGTAAAAGAACGTGAAAATAGCGAGTTTTCGAGAGAAAATTTTCAGTAAGGGATGTGTAGCAACCAGAGATTCAAAATAAACGCACATCTCCACGGCCTGCAAAATTTACTACGAAATGATGTTCGAATGTAAAGACATGATAACTTGTCAGCAGTCACATTATTCAGATGGTAACGGAAGCCTTCCAATCCATTCAACCTCAGCGCCATCCAGATCTTCATCGCTTTGTTTCGCCTGCTTCTATGTATTCCCCATTCGCGTATATCAGTACTATCTGAACTAGATCATAGAATAGAAAGAACCGTTCCCCAACAAAACATTCACAAAGAAAACGATAGATTGTCTTTCATGACCTGAACTATATAAGACGCACTTAAAGTATCTGTACGTTTGTCGGGATGTTTGTCTGGCAGGACAACTCACCATGGATGGTTTTGTGGGTCGTCCGATCCAGAAACACACAACAGCCCATGTAGGAACCGACCAGTGTTAGATGAGGTTGGTCCAGATCAAAAGTCAGTGGGGAAAGACCACCACTTCAAGAGTAAATCGTGCAATCACGAAGTGGTGATTACACTTGCAATCACGCGTACGGCCTTGCTAAGGCCGTACCTCCCGCGGGTTGTGAGACACAAGCATGCTTTCCCCTTCGATTCATTTTTGAATTGATAACCTTTCCGCTGTGACTTTAAAATCTACTCATCTCACCTATGACCCGAAAGGAAAATGCCTCGAAGACTTCATGCGTCTACGACTTAAGAGTGGCCTGCCGTATTGTCATCTTCAGCGTTCGCATCACCACAATCACGGGTCATTCTCAATAGCAACTGGATTCTCCGGACCGGCCTACTTAGACACTCGCTAACGGTGGCACGGACCTCATCACAAATGAATGATAGTGCGAAATGAATCTTCCCGTCAATCAAGATACCACCATATCTGCTGACAACGCCTTCAGGTGTGGGCAGTAGTCTTTCAACTGTGTTGTATGGCGTGCCCTTTCAAACGACTCTTCGCGCTTCATCGCCGACCTCCTCAGCCGTGTGGATTTCATTAGTGATAACGGCTCGTTTTGTGCAAAATGGACGAGCTTAGTATCAATGGAAATGACTGGGCTTCTCCCACCTTTGTTGTTTGTTTGAGTCGGTGAGTGTTTCTGATCGGATTCATGACTGCTGTCTCCTTGAACACTCCAATTTGGAAGTGTAAAGCGGCAGAATAAGAACACTGATGGAAGGCGGTAGAACTAAGCGCAGAGTGAGTGCGAAACCACTCTTGAGTAAAATCATCCAGCCAATTTCTAATAAGTGGAGCCGAGTTTGGGTCATGTGGGGCGGGCACACGTGATATCTGTTAGGGTGTGTGGAATTATTATACTGGGTCGACCAGTAACATAATTCTATTCTCCTGGATCACAGCGTTCGAATTCGAAAGGGATAAAGGCAACAGACCAACTTTAACTTTAGAAGAGGGGAGTCCTACGTAAGATGGGCGATTGGACTGGTATTACTATTTCTAATCAGGTAAGACGTTTGTCGGCAAGGGCCAAAGAAGGAGACCGCACGGACGAGCGACCCCCTAAACGCAAGGCTACAAATGATCATAGGAGGTCAGAAAATCAAAAACTGACCGCGCGGGAGAGCGAAGGTATCAGGTAGGTTGGCCCAGTAAGTGGGGTATTCGATTCGCTTGCTCGTCTGAGGTGTGGTCTCCCCTCATCTTTGATATTCTCTGTGTGGCCTCTGTGGCCGGTTCATCCCTTAAGGGCCTTTGTGGCTGATCTGATCTGTGATCGTAGCTCGAGGGGTCTAGGTGACGCAGATAGTGGGAAGGCCTTAGCGGCCAGATCTAGCCTAAGTGGCAGGAATAGTGTAGCGGCCTTAGTGGCCGAGATCTCGAAACCAGCGTAGGTCCCTAGATATCCCTTAGGGGCAAGTGGGTTTGGTAATACACGACACGGGAACCAGTACGAGTGTGTTCAGGGGAACGCCGGAGCGCATCCCTCTCTTCGACTACCCCGCGATGCCAAGTGATCTGTAGGATTTCATATGACCTTTGTTTGCAATTTTGTGCCGGTGCACTACGTATGGGGCGCTTTCGGTCATCAGTGGATAAGATTACCCAGTTCATTTTTCATCCTCGTGTTCGACTCGGCGACTGAAGAAGCCACGAAAAAGACTGGATGATGAATCTGCTTTCCTTTCTTATTTTTCAAGAACGTCAGTCATAAGCGCCCCTTGTCAAGTGGGTCACATAAGGCCATCCTACTCATGGCTTGCAAACTCGCAATCGTTGACATAACCACCCATGACTTGCGTTCACGTGTTTTCTCCTTGCTCTCTCCCTTGTGAGTGAGAATGATGAGGCCACCCAACATGTATCCTAACACCTTGGTCCTAGGCCCTTAGGCTTGGACAAACCGTCTTTTCTAAAACTGAAACTGTGGGGAGAAACCATGCATTCAAAGAGTTACGCTGAATCAAATATCAAGTCTAACCTAAGATCTGCATTATATGCAGAAAGCTAGCAGAAGTAAGTACATTATTAATCAAACTGCTCCAGTGTTCATTCGTAAGTGAAGCAGACCTCCTTGCATTAGTCGCCTCTGCAATGACGCCGTTCGAAATGCCTCCTTGTAAGTGTTACGATCTCTTGTCCAAACAAGGCATGTCATTCCCGAATACAGCAGGAACTTATGAAGATTCACATTGATGGAGTGGACATGTGACAAGGCTGTCCTGCAATTAACAGTCTCGTCTTCAGTTCAATTTGACGCTCTATTCGTTATTTTTGTAAACGACAAGTAATACCGCAGTTACTATGAAAAGTAAAACAATTTGAAATAAATGTTTTTGGAATAATAAGACCAATCTGGAAAGTTGACGCTAGGATGTTGTTATGCATGGGGAAGAATGACAAAAAGAATGGGAGTGAAGAGAGTGAGGCATACTTCACCCGTTCCTGTTCATTGTTTATCCCGAAATTGTTGAAAACTTGCTTAGGTTGCTGTTTATATGACATGTTACGGTTACAATTACAATCATTCTACTTCTAAACCACACTGATTTCACAGAAGCATTGACACTTGGAAAATAAATTGGAAGAGAAGAAGGAAAAAGTAAACATACTGAACATTCCTCAATACGGCGCATTCTCAAACCTTCTACTCAGAACACTTTTAAAGGAATGATTATCTATGTTGTCTTAGCATGCCCCTGTTAGTATTGCTTCAGGAATAGATCCTCATTTCGTGTAAGCTCGGCTCAATGTTGTTGATCCCTCGACCTCTAGCTTTCGAGCGAGTTTTTGATCGGTCAATCTCACTGCGTTTTTTAATGATTCATGAATTCACCAAAACTCACTTCCAGGGTATTTCAGGAAAAGGATTGATATAGGGATTGTGCACTACTCAGATCGTAACTTGCTGACCCAACAACGAGTTTCTTCCCAATAACATAGAAAATGTTTCCTTCATTTTTTTGGAGAAGGTCACTTGCGTATGTTGCCAAATGATACAGCCCCCTCGTATTTTCCCATCGTTTTCCATTTTCACCTAACACAATTGCTCAATTTGTGTCAAGTTTTCCAATTTTTGGCAGCGGTTAAAGTGAGGTTGCCACCCGACTTCAAGAGAGATCAAATTCCCGGGGTGCTGTAGGAACGAAACTGTCGCGTCGCAGCGAGAGAGACGTCGTGCGCGAAGGAATGTAGCAGAATGCAACAACAAGTAAGAAATACAGGAACAAAAGAACCAACAGTAGAATCATGCCAAAAGAAAAGTTTCCTTGAGCTGTATGAGGAACGCTGGAACTGTTACAATGAGGGCAAATGATCCGCGACAGCCGCTTGCGTTGGATCGATTACACAGAACCGTTCCTACTGCCCGTCTCCCGAATTCCCGCTAAAGAGGATTAGGGATTGTCAAATCGCAAAATTGCT